GTCATTAGCACCTCTAGTAATATATTTACTGAGAAAAATGTTGACGTGTTCAATACGTATTTTACCCGCTGTATATGAAAATGTAAAACTTTTGCAGGGTTTTCTGTCAGTGAGCAACAACTGCAGATTTAAAGCAATGGGTCAAAAACATAAAGGAATCTCACCACAGTGTCTATGTAAWCCGTTCTGATTAATAAAATCTCAATATTTTTAATGAGAAGAATTCTGATAAACACTTYATTGCAACTTAACAGTAAAACAAACAAACATAAAGCTGCATCTTCAGAAAATATTCCTGAGAATGGCTGTTCAATTATCTTTCWGCCATTTGCTGAGCAAACTTCCCTTTTTTTCTCAACTTGAGACATCCTGGTAACAACTGATCCTTTTGTGGGGTCACGTCAGTACTGCACGTGGTCCTACAKTAGACCTCAGGACCAACTGCATTCAGGTTACCAAATGTATGCAGATAAAAGGGGTCTACCCCACCCACCAGGGTTTCCACACCTTGGTCAACATCAAATTCAAGGACTTTCCAGTACCAATTTCCTCAAATTCAAGAACCACATGCGATGGCAATTACCTACTGCTATCGCATAATGTTACCAATGAGCAGGTTTAATATCATGTAACTTTCAATGAAAAACTAAACAGCATAGAAGAAAGTGGACTAAATATACTGTACACCCTACATTCATATCTACAATACATGGACATGTAATTATGTCCTGGGAGGTTGGGCAGCTCAGTTTGGGAGGAGGGGATGTGAACATGTCCAGACTCAGTGAGGACAGGAGGAGCTGTGGTGCTCTCACCTGAAAATTTTATTTTATTATTTTTTTTTACAGATGATGAAAATCAGTCGTTTGAATAGAGAACTTTAGTCCCCAAAAACTTTCAAGGACTTGTGTAATTTTTGGCTGTTTTCATTAACTTTCCAGGGCCTTGAGATCATTTTTTGCAAATTCACAAACTTTCAAGGATTTCAAGGACCCGTGGGAACCCTGACCCACATAGCAAAATTTGTCTGGCCCAGTTCTAACCCACAAAATGCACCGAAAGGCCCAATATACTCGATCAGAAGCCAAAACGTTAACTCCCAGTCTCATCACACCTTTCACAGCTCCTGAGACACACACCGTGCTGAGCTCCTAAGAAGCCCCTCCCACTGCGGTACACATCACTACTATAGTCTACACTCCGGGAAAAGAAAAAAAAATCATAACTCTGATACCAGCCGTTATTTGTCCACAATTCTGTCTTCCTCCATGCACAACGTCTGTTTTATCTCCATTCATGAGAAGTGAGTCGTAGCAAAATGTTTTCAGCGTAAACAAGCAGGCCTGCAAACGTCAGACCCGTCACACAAGAAGTTCTTATGCAGAGCGGGGTGAAAAGTTGTGACAGGGGCAGGTGACACAAAGCTGGGAACAAAACGATGCAATGTTTCGTCACACAGGTGCGACATTGACAGCCAATTATGGCAGTTCGGATGGAGCACGCAGAGGCCTAAACACTGGAACACTTAGCCCAGATGTGGTCTGCCAGTGGTGGTCCATGCCAGGTCCATGTTGTGGCATGTTGTCACAGCCAGACCTGGCCCACACCAGTCTATGTGGGCACCTTCAGAGCTACTCTGGACCCCAGTAAAAAAGTTTCACAGAGTATTCATGTATTTAACGCTTTCTGAATGCAACCTGATCATCCAGAACAGATGTTAGTTCCAGGTCTGAACATGGTCTGAGAGGAAGTTCTTGAGTTATTTAGCTAGCATTGTTTAGATAACATCATGTCCCCATGAAAAACAAAAACATTTAGTGTAACTTACAAGCATTGTAGGCTTTCTTTTGTGACAGAATCTCCACCACGTCTTTCTTTTTAAAGCTCTCTGGCAGGAAGGCCGGCTCTGGAGGAGAAACTGAGCATTTTAAAAAAAAGAGGCGTGAGGACCTGTTCTCCAGGCACCGGAGGGATCTAAACAGAAGCGAAGTGACTAGATTATGAAGTGATGGAGTGATAACAGCTCAGCTTTTAGAAACTCAGTCTACTGTAGGGTTATCTAAACGAGGATAACGGTGCCTTATGGAGAGTGAATTTGTGGTGCAGGTTAAATGAAGCAGCTCCAACATGGAGAACACAGCTGTGAAGGTACAGAACAAAAACAGGTGACGTCAACAAGCAGACATGTAGAACGTAAAGGATGAAACGTTGCGACGGCTCAATAAGAGTTAGGACAGAACTTACTGGATCTGCGTTGAGTTCCAAAGTGGAGGTCCAGGTCCAAGTACTTCACCATGTCGCTGAGCTTGTCGTACTCCGAGTCCTCTCCCAGCTGAAAACAGAACAAAACGTTGGGACTAAATGAGCCGATTAAATCTTGGCGGGACGATCTGACTGTTCCTTTCATGTTTGACTCATCAGAGACGCACGAGCCTTTTACGAACGCGGGACAAAGAGGTGTAGGAGTGAGAAAACATGCTGCCTGAGTGGGAAGATTCACAGTTTTGTTGTTTTTTTTTCTGACAGCCGAGTGTTTTTATGCTCCGTCCTACAGAGGAGCATGACACAGAGCGGCAGGTCGGCGCTCACCTGACCCCAGATGGTTCCCTCGGAGTTCTCCACCTGCTCCCAGCGCAGCCTCTTCACGCTCATGTGGTTGGCGTCCGCGGCGGCGGGCTGGCCGGCTTTGGGCAGCGGAGGCGGGTCGCAGGGCGGAGGCAGGGGCGGGGGTGGAGGGGGCGGAGCCTGGGAGAGAGCAGGGAGGTGGAGGAGAGCGTGATTTTGAGCGGCACACAGGCAACGGTTCACAGTTTTGAGCTCAGCTGTTTTGTAAAAGAGACAAACGGAGCAGAACGTGTTCGGTTCTGCTCCGTCTGAACGCACACACTGCAGCATGGAGCCGTTGTTGTTTACGTGTGACGCCTCTATAGGAGCTGTTTTTTTGGTGGCACTGCAGCAGCAAAGCTCCCTGTGCTTTTATCTACATTGTTTCCTGAAAAGCGGAGGTGTACACCTGCTGACTGCTTCCTGACAGGACATTTTGCTAACCGGCAGACAAACACGTGGTAAAAGCATCTGTGGAGACAGGTGAGGAGAGAGATGCTCGTTACCTGCTGGTGCTCCTGTGGGGAGGCGTCGAAGTTCTTGGTGTGGCCGGGCAGGGTGGAGGTAGAGGCCGGAGGCTTGGAGAGCAGCGCGGAGCCCACGGGCCCCAGGCTGTGATGCTGCGCGGGGCTGGGGTCCTGCTGGGACGGCGGCAGCGGGCCCTGGTAGCTGTGCTGGTGGTGGAGCTGGTGGTGCCGCTGCAGGACCAGCTGGCTCGGCCGGAGCGGCTGAGGGGAGGGCTGGGGTGACGGCTGGCGGGCCGGCTGAGGCTGGCTGAGCTGGCGGGGGAGGTAGGTGGTGCGGGACGACGGGGCGGACCGCAGGGTGGACGAGCCCAGCGGGGCATGGTTGCGCGAGAGCCAGGCCGTGGTGGCCTGAAAGCGCTGGCTGGACTTCTCGGTGGGCGGCCCTTTGTGGAGAGGGGAGCGGCTGGACAGGAGGGTCCTCGGAGGGGGCGGCGGAGGCGGGATGATGGGGTGGTGCGGCTGGAAGGGCATGTGGCTCCGGGGGACATGCTCCGGAGAGAAGCGCACGGGCGGGCGAGGGTCCGTGAACTGGACCGGTGGGGGGATCAGAGACTGAAGAGGCGGCGGGGGCGGGGGGCTCTGGTTGGGAGGGGGCGGGATCGCTTCAGAGCCGGAGGAGTAGGTGGGAGACGAGGCCTCGTCGCTGCTGTGATCCTCGCTGCTGCCACTGCTGAGCTGCCGGGACCTGAAGCCCGTGTCCTGCTCCTCTGGGAAACTCATCTAGTGGGAGGAGAGTATCAGATCAAACAAAACTTCACTTCCTGTCATCTGCAGCTGTCCTCCATCGCATTTACGTCATACTCAGTGTGTCTTAGGCTCATTCAGGCTCACTTTTTAGTGCTGGAAACAAACTAACTCAGCTGCCTGCTTATACAGTTGCAGTCAGAAGTTTACATTGACTTTGAGTTTTTAATAAATTAGGATTGTGCAACATACAACTTTAATGTTTAAAAAACAAAACTGGGAGTTTGAGATTACTGGGACAAAATCGTACATATATATAAGCTCAAAAGGCTGTGCTGTTGGTGCTGAAATGCTTTCTCATTAGTGAACATGATTGACTGCAGTCAATAGTTTGTCATTGTCAGCATGAAAAGGCTTTGCCTCATAGCACTTAAGGCAAGTGTCAAATTCAAGGCCTGTCAAAAGTAGCCCCCCCCCCCAAAAAAAAACAAAAAAAAAACAACAAAATAATTTATATTTTTACCTAAATAATTAAAAATGTAAATAATTTTAATATCAATTACTAACTTTGAACTGGTGATTCAATATAACAAAATAAACAAATTTAAAAGTTGAAAGATAATAATACTTTAGTTGAACAGCCCTGTATTAATGTCCCAAAATCAGCTGCTTATTGACCATAAACTACATCTCCCATAACACATGTTGGTGTATGGGAATTCCCTGTTGGAAAGTGGGAGAGTTCAGAATTCAAGACTCACCACAACTTAACAGTGAGTAAAGCTCTCCTACTTTTACTTTTAATAGTATTTCTGTATTATTTACTTCATATTTAGTCAGCCGTAAACTTTGTACTTTTCAGTGTTTATAAGAAGAAATGTTAAAACACTGTTTCTATGCAGGAAACTCAGTTACTGTTTGTTAGCAGTGCTCAGACAAAGTTAATTACAACTGCCACTGTTACAATCACATGGCCCTCAGCACAAATTAATTTAACACCCCTGACTTACAGGATTGACAAATACTTAGAATAACGAGAGAGTCCAGGGAGTTCAGTTCAAATCAGTGAAAGGGAGGAAATGGTTCAGGATGTTCAGGAACAACTCAGGAACCACCATAGTTCAAGTCTGCCATCCAACTACGGGAACACCAGTGTCATGACCTTCTGACCAATTTTTATAATATTAGGAAAGTCCTAGGAAGCCAGCGAAGATCAAAATTATTAAATTATAGTTTTATGCAAGTTTTCGTAGTCATTTCTAAAAAGCTTTAGTTTTCAAGCTCATTAATCTTAGCAATTTTACAAAAGTTTAAGTGACTTAGATGAGGCATCACTTCTCTAAGGTCAGGAAGAAGACCAAAACTGTTCTCCTTAGATGAAAGGAAACTGGTTTAGGATGTTCAGGAACAAACAGGTTCAAGTCTACCATAAATGAGAAGCTGCTGGAACTGGGACAGAAAAGATGCTGACAAAAAAAAGAATCTCCAGCTCTAAAAGTGACACCCTCAAGTTTAAATGAATTTAGCAGCTGCCCACATTCAGCGATGTCTGGGCAAAGTTTGATGGTCCGTCAAATGAGATGTTTGGCCACAAAGACAGTTTTTCATTATTATTATTTTTCAGGGGGAGTTGATGCTTTTATGTTTTTTTTTTCTGGTCAGCTGCTTCTGAATGTCCCTAACTCACGTCTCAAACTGAGAGGTGACAGATCCTTTTCTGTAACAGGTCCAAAACTGTGGAATGATCTACCATTATCTGTCAGACAGTCCTCGTCCCTCGCTGTCTTCAAGTCTCGATTAAAAACACACTACTACTCCCTTGCCTTTGAGTCTGAGTGAGATGGTGCAAAGCCTCACTTTGTATCTCTGTTTTATATGTACTTTAAATATAAATGCTCCATATTTTTTATTTGTATTTTGACTGTAATTTAACTGTGATTTTAACTATGTCCTGTTGTGTCTGTCTCCTGTACAGCACTTTGGTTGGCCTTTTGCTGTTTAAAGTGCTTTATAAATAAAAGTGGTATGGTACGGTATGGTATGGTGCCTCTACAGCACAGTTCGACTTGGCTGAACTCTTTTCAGAACAGTTCGGTTGCTTTTTCATTACACTTGGGTAACAGCTCCAGTGGGTGGGTTCATTGTGAAGTTGGGTGGTCCCAGAGTCTGAAAATTGACGCCACACATCTTACCAGCTGGTGGTGGTTATTTTCCAGCCACCATTAATCGTAGTAGAAGAAGAAACCCCAAACGGTTAACACAACAAAGCAACACAACAATGGAGGACATTGGTAGCGTTGTTATTGCAAACGGCAGATCGGGTTGTGAGAGCAGCTCTTGCGACGCAACCAGTGACTCCACCCCCTAACCAATCAGTGACCAACAGTCTTCTGATGTCACATTTTCAGGCCAACATGGTACTTTTGGAGCCACAGTGAAGTAGGTTCTGAAAAAGAGGCTGGTTCCGTGAATACCTGCTAGTGGAAAAGCCTTGGAAATGTAGAGAGCCTAGTCAAACCGTGCTGTAGAGGAGCTAGTGTTTCCAGGGCCACTACACCTAAGAACACTGTATAAAGTGCATGATGCAACCACGGTGGTGGTAGCATCATGCTGTGGGACTGGCACATTGCACAAAGCAGATATAATGAACAACTACCTCCAAATTATACAACCATACCTCAAAGATGGTTGATGGTTGAAACTTGGACATTACTGGGTGTTCCAACAGAACAATGATCCAAAACCCAAAAAATTTGTGGACTTAAACACTAAGACCATATTAAGAAACCAACTTACTTAAGTGAACTCTACCAGTTCTGCAATAAAGCGTGGTCAAAGATCAATAAAAAAATTGGATATGTACATTTCTGACTGCAAGTGTACATGATCAGCAAATGGGATATGAAGTATAAAATCATTTAAACGTACACACCGACTCAGTTTCTTCTTTACTTCAGGAACAACAAAGCTATGGAACAAAAGCTGGATGATTTGCCTCAAGTAAAAAAACGAACAAACATGCATTTTAATATCTGCCATACTCTTTCCCATGTTTACGGAACACAAAGAACGTTACGTTCCCATAACTTGAGGATTTTTTTTCCTTTTTCTTACTAACCACATTTTCCTTTTCAATTAAAAAACAAAGCCACAGGATCACCTCATAATTGGATTTCCATCCAGAAGCAGGCAGATATTATTAGACTCTACTGTGTTACTGCATATTGAGGGTTTTTTTTTTTTACTTACACGGACACCTCCTCTTCTGAAACCATGACAACCACCTTGATATATCTGTTCGTGTGACACAAGTGTTGGTTGTAGCGAACGCTCTAACATTCATCACAGTGAAACAGCTTGGTTGATGTGAGTTTATATGTTGATGATCAATGATGACATTTTAACCGGAACCCTTGATATACAGTTTTTAAATCTTTCAATTCAAAATTTAAATCATGTCTGTTCACCTCCAACTGCAAAAAAATGAGGTTTCATGAGAATAAGTGATAAGTAAAGTGATGAACAGCTGTGTACCTCCTCGTAGTCGTTCTCCCCCGGTGTGAAGTCATCCACCAGAGTGACCCGGTGGCCCAGCTGCTCGCTCAGCGCGTCCAGGAACTTGTCGGTGTCGCGACTGCGAGGCGGGCGAGAAAAGGTGAAGAGCTTCTTCCGGCGGGTCAGCGTGTTGGGACCGCTGTCCGAGGGGTGAGGGGAGGCGGGGGGGCTCTCCAGGCAGACGTAGGGGTTGGACTCCACGCTGCTCTGGTGGTGGATCTCGTACACAGGGGTGGGCAGAGGCTCCTTCCAGGACAGGGACAGGCCGGATTTACGGTTCCCTGGAAAGGCGGGCGACAAAGCTTTGTACTGGTTGTGTTTGTTAAATAAATAAAAACGTGTTTATTTTCTTTAGTTCTGTGTGGTATCGTCCTCGTGAGGGTCCGTTTTKCTGAGGTAGCCTTGGCAACAAAAACAACTGCAGACAGGCACAGATAGCTGGAAATGAATGGGTTTTCAGCTCAAATACATTCAAAGAGCAGTGGTTCTCGTGTCATGTTCACAAYAAAACGTTACTCTCTCTCTCTTTTTAAGGAGAATCTGTTATTTTTTTGGTCCATCAGTGAACATGACACCAGTCACCTGCCATCAGGGCCCATTTCTTTGCTCTTCATCACTTTTTTATACTCAGTCTCAATAATTCATGATGCAAACGTTGGACCTTGTTGGCCAATGGTTTCGAACCATTGATGCAAGCATATGTGTGTGTGTGTGTGTGTGTGTGTGTGTGTGTGTGTGTGTGTGTGTGTGTGTGTGTGTGTCGGCCGCAGAGTACCTGTGAGGGGGGGCAGTGTGAGGGGGGAGAGGGAGCGGCTGTAGGCCTCAGTCTGCCCCGCCACCTCAGGCTCTGCGGGGGAGCCGCCGTGCAGCGGGGACACGCCCTTCCCTGCGTACATGGTCTCCAGCTCCGTGTACACACCTGTCATCTACGGGCGAAGGCATGACCAGCGGGTTAGCACACGACTCGCAGCAGACGCCTACTCTCTGAAGGCGTGCTGCGTTTGTTTTTAAAGCTTCGGTGTCAGATTGAACTCCGACCAACGAGCACACCTTCAGATAACGAGAGCTGCTGGAAAGCGGCGGTTATACCTACATGACTGAGGTCAGGGGACTCGGGGAAGGAGGTTCCGTCTCCTGACTGCCTCTCCTCCGGGCTCCCAGATTCATCGATATGAATTCCTAAAAGCACAACACAGCACGAAGAAAGACACATGGACGTAAGCCTCCTCCATCCATCCACCCCCTCCAGGCGGGAGGAGGGATGATGAAGCAGAAACAGCATGGAGGAGCAAAAAGGTGGCAAAAAAAGGCTTGTTTACTTAAAGGGGCAATATCATGTAAAATCAACTTTTTTGAGTTTTAT